TTTGAGACGGAGTTTCACTCTTGTTACCCAGGCTGGAGTGCAATGGCGCGATCTCGGCTCACCGCAACCTCCGTCTCCTGGGTTCAGGCAATTCTCCTGCCTCAGCCTCCTGAGTAGCTGGGATTACAGGCACGTGCCACCATGCCCAGCTAATTTTTTGTATTTTTAGTAGAGACGGGGTTTCACCATGTTGACCAGGATGGTCTCGATCTCTTGACCTTGTGATCCACCCTCCTCAGCCTCCCAAAGTGCTGGGATTACAGGCTTGAGCCACTGCGCCTGGCCTTATTTTATGTTTTTAAATAGTTTTTCATACACTGCCCCTCAGCCCATATCTATTTTTAAAAAATAAAATAAAAATAAACTTTAAAAAGAAAAATGCAAAGCTGCCATCCTTGGAAAGCAGGCCAGGTGGGTAGTAATGTCTTCTCTGGGTGTTAAGCAGGTTAGGTCCTGGGCCTCAACCCCCTTACCTCAATTTTCTTGGTTTTTTTTGGTTTTTTTTTTTTTTAAGATGGGGTTTCACCATGATGGCCAGGCTGGTCTTGAACTCCTGACCTCAGGTGATCCACCCACCTCAGCCTCCCAAAGTGCTAGGATTACAGGCGTAAGCCACGGCGCCTGGCCTTCAATTTTCATTCAATAAATATTTACTGAGTACCCAATGTGGGACATTCACTATAGGTGGTGAACTGGAAATACAAGAGTGAGCCGGAAGCACTTAGTCCTTGCTCCTATAGAGCAGGATGTGTCGGTGGGGCACTATTGCACATTTGGGACTGGATAATTTGGTGTGGGGGTTGGCTCTGTGCATGGAAGAGTGTTTAGCGGCATCTCTGGCTTCTACCCACTAGACGTCAGCAGCAATCCCCCGCCTCAATTGTCACCATAAAACAGTCTCCAGGCTGCACACAGTGGCTCACAACTGTAATTCCAACACTTTGGGAGGCTCAGGCAGTAGGTGGATGGCTTGAGACCAGCCTGGGCAACACAGTGAGACCCTGCCTCTACAAAAAAATTTTAAAATTAGCTAGGTGTGGTAGCATGTACTTATAGTCCCAGCTACTCAGGAGTCTGAGGTGGGAGAATCGACTTGAGCCTGGGAGGTTGAGGCTGCAGTGAGCGTGATGGCATCACTGCACTCCACCCTAGGCGACAGAATGAGACCCTGTCTCAAAAAAAAAAAAAAGAGAGAGAGAGAGAACAACAACAAAAAAAACTCCAGAAGTTACCAAATAATCCTGGGGCAAAACTATCTCTAGGTAAGAAACAGTATCTTAGAAACCAGAGCAGCTCCATGGTTACCTCTTATTTATTGGAGCCTGGGTAAGATTTTATTTGAACAAATATATTTGCAAGTTAGGAAAAAATAAAAGTGGATAGAGTTTTGTAAAGAATGACAGGTGCCACTGTCATGTACAAATCTGCAAAGTTCAGAGAGCTAAATACAGTTCAGCTCAGCCCTGCTTGCAACAGAACGGGGAGGATGAGACCCCCATCGTGCTACAAATACAGTTGCTACAAATACAACACTGTAAGTTGTAGGATGAGAGAAAAAACAGACTGGAGAATTTCAAAAGTGATTAAGCTGAACTTCATGTGACCCCGAATTCCCTAGCCAAGGGACTGCCCTCCAGCACCCATTTAATATTCATCCAGCAAGAGTGCTAGCCAGCTTCATCCGATGGCAACAGACTTGGAGTTGAGATACACTACCATTTACTGCTGTACACTTTTCGTTTTTGTAGCAAGATGGGGGTCTCGCTCTTGTTGCCTAGGCTGGAGTCGCTCTTGTTGCTTAGCTTGGGTGACAGAGCAAGACTGTCACAAAAGAAAAAAAAAAAAGAGAGTGAGAGAGAGATAGAGAAATATAAACATTAGTCATTAGAAGACTTTAGTTGAATTATGGAATTCTGTTGTTAAAATTCTTCCATTACCCACCACTTCTGTTGACTTTGTCAACAAGGTAATAAATTGAGGTGAGGCTCATGGTGATAACTCTAAAGTTGCAGGATCCTGAAATTCTTCTGAATTTGCTTTTTTTTAAATGGGGTTTCACCATGTTGGTCAGGCTGGTCTTGAACTCTCAACCTCAGGTGATCCGCCGCCTTGGCCTCCAAAGTGCTTGGATTACAGACATGAGCCACCACGCCTGGCCTCTGAATTTTTTTTTTTTTTGAGACAGAGTCTCACTCCATCGCCCAAGCTGGAATGCAATGGTGCTATCTCTGCTCACTGCAACCTCTGCCTCCTGGGTTCAAGCAATTCTCCTGCCTCAGCCTCCTGAGTAGCTGGGATTACAGGTCCATGCTACCACGCCTGGCTAATTTTTGTATTTTTAGTAGAGATGGGGTTTTACCATGTTGGCCAGGCTGGTCTTGAACTCTTGACCTCGTGATCCACATGCCTCAGCCTCCCAAAGTGCTGGGATTACAGGCATGAGCCACTGCACCCGGCCTGAATTATTATTATTATTATTATTATTTTATTATTTTGAGACAGAGTTTCACTCTTGTTACCCAGGCTGGAGTGCAATGGCACGATCTCAGCTCACCACAACCTCCGCCTCCATGGTTCAAGCAATTCTCCCACCTCAGCCTCCTGAGTAGCTAGGACTACAGGTGTGCACCACCATGCCCAGCTAATTTTTGTATTTTTTTTTTTTTAGTAGAGACAAGGTTTTACCATATTGACCAGGATGGTCTTGATCTCTTGACCTTGTGATCCACCCGCCTCGGCCTCCCAAAGTGCTGGGATTACAGGCGTGAGCCACTGCGCCGGTCTTATTATTGTTATTTTTGAGATGGAGTCTCACTCTGTCACTAGGCTGGAGTGCAGTAGTGTGATCTCGCTCACGGCAACCTCCACCTCCCAGGTTCAAGCAATTCTCCTGCCTCAGCCTCCTGAGTAGCTGGGACTATAGGCACTCACCACCATGCCCAGCTAATTTTTGTATTTTTAGTAGAGACAGGGTTTCACCATATTGGTCAGGATGGTCTCGACCTCTTGACCTTATGATCCATTTGCCTCGGCCTCCCAAAGTGCTGGGATTAGAGGTGTGAGCCACAGTGCCCAGCCTGCCTTCTGAATTATTAAAAAGTGTGTGTGTGTGCACGTGGTGTGTTCTGTGCCATGAACAGTGAAGTTCACTATGTACTTACCTTTCAAATAAGGTATCCATTAATGACTCTCATAATCCTTCTAACCAGAGTGTTTGCCTGCCTAGAATACCCCATCTCCTCACAGATGAGCTCTTCCAGACCCCAGGAGAAAGAATAACTAATCTAAACTCATGTAGTTGGTTGGCAGCTGTCAGAATAAGAGTGCAGGTCTTCTGAATCTTTTTTTTTTTTTTTTTGAGATGGAGTTTCACTCATCTCCCAGGCTGGAGTGCAGTGGCATGATGTTGGCTCACTACAACCTCTGCCTCCCAGGCTAAAGCAATTATCCTGCCTCAGCCTCCTGAGGAGCTCGGATTACCTCCTGTGGTGTGTGCATGCCACCACACCCAGCTCATTTTTGTATTTTTAGTAGAGACGAGGTTTCACCATGTTGGCCAGGCTGGTCTCGAACTCCTGACCTCAAGTGTCTGCCCACTTCGTCCTCCCAAAAGTCTTCTGATTCTTACATAGTGCTTCCTCCTGCAGCCTAGCGTGCCTTCTCACATAGGGAATGCTGGCAAAGGGCATGGACTGTGGAGTCAGAAAGATACCAACTCCAAGAACAGCTCCACCATCTTCAGCCTCTGCTTCCTGAACTTCCTTAGGTGTAAGATAGAGTTAGTACTATCCCTGTGCTCAATAAATGTTAGCTGCTCTTATTGTAACAGAGGGCTTGCTGTACATGAAGTCACTATACTTTACAGTTTAAAATAGGAAGACCAAGAGTAAATCCCTTCCAATCCTAGTTCCAGGTTCCTTCATCCATGCAGTATGGTCACCTTTCTTTTTTTTTTTGAGACAGAGTCTTACTCTGTCACCCAGGCTGGAGTGCAGTGGTGCAATCTTGGCTCACTGAAACCTCTGCCTCCTGGGTTCAAGCGATTCTCCTGCCTCAGCCTCCGGAGTAGCTGGGACTATAGGCACACACCACCATGCCCCGGCTAATGTTTTGTATTTTTTTTTAGTAGAGATGGGGTTTCACCATGTTAGCCAAGATTGTTTCAATCTCCTAATCTCGTGATCCACCCACCTCGGCCCCTCCCAAAGTTCTGGGATTACAGTCCTGAGCCACCTCGCCCGGTCACCTTTCCTTGGAGACAGCTTGCCTCTTTCCATCACCCCTAATCAACCATTCTATCCTTCTCTTGAGTACTTGTTGTCTTTTTAACGTTTCTTTCATTATTCAGTTAGCCTTTTTATTATTATTCAAATTATTCGTTTTTTCTTTATTTGTGTAGAAATGAAATGTTGGAATACAGACTGAGCTTGTAGTTAATAAATAGATGTTGATATATCTGTGAAAATGGAAACAGAGGCAGTCTATGAATAAATACACTTTTTCCATGAACTCAATCCCAGGACAAGGTGGACATTGTCCCTCAAAGCTTTTTTTGCCCTCAGTATGGCATGAGAAAAAGAGAACCAATAAATCAGACTGCATCTGCATCAACAGAGTTCACTTAGAAGCTAGCCAGGAATGTTAAATGTCCTCATCAATGGTTAAACCGATAAGCAACAAAGATATTCTGAACCCAAGTTGCTATCATGGCTGAATTCCACTCTGCTCCACTGGCTAGGAACAAGAGTCAAGTGTCAAACCCAGAGAAACAGTCTCTGCATGGTCAACCACAGCACTAGCTGCACACCACTGATCTGCTCCGAAGTCACTTCAGATACAGGCTATGTTTGACAAGATTCAGGGTTTTGTTCTCTCCTCTCCTTCCCTTGGGAAGTTGAGACGGTTGAGGAGGCATTGAAGTTGAGCTCCATTGAAGTTGAGACGGTGGAGAAGGCATTCAGACAGTCATAAGTGAAAACCCTATGTTTCTCTACAGGTGGTGACTTTCGACGCAGGGGGAGTAAGTGGCCACAGCAATCACATTGCTCTGTATGCAGCCGTGAGGTATGATTTTCCGGGTGATGGAGGTGGGGGAGGGTTTGTTCATTTGATTAGGGCTCATGGTTTAAAGTCTAAAGCACTTTCCTACTTTTTATCTAGCCCATGAAACTCACTGCTGGCTTATCATCAAGCCCTTTTTGGCCATGTTGCTGACTGCATCTTACCACGTCCTCTCTCTGAGAAATCTCTCTCAAATCCTAGTGCAAATGCTCATCTCCTGAACAGCTGAATTGTTTTTTACACACTGAATACTGCAAATGGGGTAGCTGACTTTATTCATCTCTTCTCTGTGGCCACAGGAAGCTTGAGGGTCAAATTGGCCACCCCTGTGGCACATGGACAAGACTTTAAGGAATGAGTGCTGTGACACAGTGCACCTCCGGCTCCACCATCTTCTTCTTCCCTCATTCTCACTTCCTTCACGTATTTTATACAATTCTCAAATCTTTCTTTGGAGAAGGAGGATATACATATATAATATGAAATGCTTTTGTTCTTTACAGTCACCCTATTTTACTAATATTTATTTACATTTTATCAATAAAAATAAAATGTGACCAGCCACGGTGGCTCACGCCTGTAATCCCAGAACTTTGGGAAGCCAAGGCAGGAGGATTACCTGAGGTCAGGAGTTCAAGACCAGCCCAACCAACGTGGAGAAGCCCCATCTCTACTAAAAATACAAAATTAGGCTGGGCACGGTGGCTCACGCCTATAATCCCAGCATTTTGGGAGGCTGAGGTGGGTGGATCTTCTGAGGTCAGGAGTTTGAGACCAGCCTGACCAACATGGAGAAACCCTGTCTCTACTAAAAATATAAAATTAGCCGGGCATGGTGGCACATGCCTGTAATCCCAGTTACCCAGGAGGCTGAGGCAGGAGAATCCCTTCAACCCAGGAGACGGTGGTTGCAGTGAGCCAAGATTGCACCAATGCACTCCAGCCTGGGCAACAAGAGTGAAACTCTGTCTCAAAAAACAAACAAACAAACAAAATTAGCTGGGCGTGGTGGTGCATGCCTGTAATCCCAGCTACTCAGGAGGCAGGAGAATCACTTGAACCTGGGAGGTGGAGGTTGCAGTGAGCTGAGATTACGCCATTACACTCCAACCTGGGCAACGAGAGCAAAACTCTGTCTCAAATAATAATAATAATAATAATAATATTAATAAAATAAAAATAAAATTCAAACTCAAAGATATTGAATGATGTTGAGTCACACAAACATGGACATGTTTCCTGTCCCCTAGCAAAGTGCTTCTCCCGAGCCCCTGATCAGTGGTGTGGCAGGCCTGTCCCAGCTCCTGAGGAAGGAAAGGAACAACTTGAAGGGAAGGACTTATTTGATAACCTTCTAAACATGCTCAACACTCAGACTGAGGCAATGCAATATGTAAAGTTGGAAATGACCTCTCCAACTATTAAGTCCAGCCACCTCATTTTACTGAGGCTGTGAAGTGGTTTGCCCAACACTGCAGGGTGAAACTATGGCAGAGGCAGAATTCAGGAATCCTGGTTCTCCATTCATTATTCTGTCAGATGCATGTGAAGACCAACCTAAACTGAAGAGCCTCCTTGTCTGTACATTTTACGTCACTTGGTGGAAGATGCTAGAATTTTACCCACATCCTCTTTCTAGGCTGCTTTCCTATTTCCTTGACTGTGGAATGAAGGAAGACTAGACTGCTCTCCCTGTAAAGACTATTCAGTTCCTGGTCCAGCCAGTGCCACAGCTTTAGAGGAGACATGTTGTTAGTTGCATTAGGTCCCTTCAGATTCCTGGTTACAGTGTGAAATAAAAATGTTTTTTGACAATATATGGAAAAATGATGCAGCCCCATAGGGGTTTTTCCAACCACATGGTTACTCTGAGGCCTTGAGCTTCCAAGACTAGCATGGACAGCAAGCCCCACGGAGAAATGGAAAATGGTCCCACCTCATTCTGGATGCACACTGAGCCTGGTGATTTCTCACCAAGAATTTACACTGCACCAGAGAAAGGATCAGGTCAGGTCTGTTGCAAAGAAACTAAGAATACCTCAACAGGCAGGGTGCTGGGGCACTTGAGGTTGAGTACCCGGTCCCATTCCTGGTCCAGTCACCACTGAAGTGGGGAAAGCAGAGAAGGTGTCATTCTGGGCACAGAATCCAAGGGAACAACTCTGTGTAGATAGAACTGCCTGGGGCCATTTTCCTCAGAAGAGGCTGGCATGCCACAGGCTCTCAGCACGAAGGTGGGCCACTGTGCTTCAAATAAAACAATTCATGGTCATGCCACCAATATACTAAGACTTTTTTCTCCACAGTCATCTCCTGTCTGCTAAATTCACTAGACTCACCTTAGTCCTCAGCCACCTTGACCTTTCTGTGGCATTTGGCCCTGCCTGTCCCTCACGGCAATGCTGCCTTGGCTGATATGGCACCAGCTTGCCCTCCCTGCTCTGGCCTTTCTGGCTACTTCTCTCAGTCTCTTCCTGGCTTCCCTCCCCACAGCGGCCCCTTGGTCCCCCTGTCCCCAGGGCTTGCTCCCCAGCCCTCCTCAGCACAGCTTCCTCTGTGGCTTGAAGGGCTGTAAGCTCTATTTTCAGACAGATGCCTCCAGTGCTCACTGCTTTCCCTGGATATCAGAATATCTACAGGGCTTTGCCCAGAGTACAGGACAAGCCACCTCATTCTCAGAACCCCAGAAAGCTTTTTCAGGTTTTTCTATCTCTCAGGCTCTGCCAGGCAGTCAGTTCCATGAGTTTGTCAATTCCCTCTCCACTTCTCTTCTTTAACCCCTGCTCCTAAGAGTCCTTGTTCATGTGAGTATGTGTGTCTGTGTGCTACCTTCCCAATCCTTCTCTGTCCCAGCTTTCCAAACAACAAAGTGGGGAAAAGAGCTGGTGCTCATTGCAGTTAGTACTCCCCTGCCCTTAAGACGGTGAGCACAGAATGCCCTTCACTGTCAGAAGGTAGGTATGGGGAGGTCAGAAAGCAGAAAGGAAGTATCAGGGAAGAGAGATCAGTCAGCATTGTAAAATATTCCCCCACCATACTCACATTACAATTTCAAAAGAAAAACTATGAAGAGTGCAGCAGTTACCTCCTTTCTCTAATGGGCAAAGCTTGGACCATGGTACTTCACAAGCCACAGACCAGCCTCTGGATTGGCTGTCCTTGGCTAAAGTGCCCATCCTGGTTCCTTCACCTGTTGCCAGAGGTACGGGATCCTGGAAATCTATACGGTGATTTGTGCAAAAGAATCCACCTGAAACTCACATGGAGGGGACCATGGGTGTGGCAGGCTTTCCTCTGAAGGCCCTTACTGTTACCTACAAAGGAAATGATTCTTGCTGCTCTCACTCTTGTCCTTTCCTTCCTCCAGGGCCCTGTACTCAGAAGGAAAGTTACCTAAAGGTAAGGCTTGTCCCTTTTGCAAAGGGCCACGATATACTGTCACTCTGAGAAACTTATGGGAGGGAAACTTGCAAATCCACAGAGATCTGCCCTAGGCCGAGCAGAGGCAGGGGTGGAGGAGGCCATCACACTCTCCCTGTCTAAGCTCAGGGTACTTGGCAGGCTGTATCTACCAGCAAGTGCCTGCCTGCAGGGCCACCTCTGGATGAGTGGGAGGCCAGGTTTGCCCCGAACCTGTCTAGCTTTTTCACACCTCTGGCATTCTTCCAGTCTGAACTCAATCTCGTTCCCCAAACAATTAGCCGGGTTGTAAATGACTGCTATGCTTGATGGACCAATATGCCTGAGTGAGGAACTCTTCCTAACCCACCTGACCATTTACTGCATGACCTCCAAGCTTAGGCCAGTTTCTGGTCTGTCATACTTCACAGGATCGATATGAAGATTCAGTGAATGAATGCATAAATAGTTCATGCCCTTTCTGTGTGGAAAGACTGAAGGGAGCTTAGCAAGCCATGAAGTCTTTGGAATATGACCATAGTTTGTTTGATTCTTATATCAATCCTGTGAGTTACAGGCAGGTCTCACACTGTCAACACCATTTTACAGATTAGAAAACAGACTCATAGGCCGGGCGCGGTGGCTCACACCTATAATCCCAGCACTTTGGGAGGCCGAGACGGGTGGATCACGAGGTCAAGAGATCGAGACCATCCTGGTCAACATGGTGAAACCCCTTCTCTACTAAAAATACAAAAAATTAGCTGGGCATGGTGGCGCACGCCTGCAGTCCCAGCTGCTAGGGAGGCTGAGGCAGGAGAATTGCCTGAACCCAGGAGGTGGAGGTTGCGGTGAGCCGAGATCACGCCATTGCACTCCAGCCTGGGTAACAAAAGCAAAACTCCATCTCAAAAAAAAAAAAAAGAGAGAGACTCAGAGTGGTTAAGGGACTTTGCCAAGTCTGTCAATTCTTGACTGATAGAGCTGGAACCAGGTCTCTAGCCTCCCAATACAGTAATTCCTGTCACTTTCACCTTTCCTTTGGCTTTGAGGTAGCCAAATCTCAACCTCTAGCAACCAACCTTTTTTTGGTAGGGCACGAGGCAGGGGTAGAGGGTAGCCAGCCAGGTCTTCTGTGGCCCTTTTACTCCTTCTAGCTGCAAGAATGACAGGCAAAGAGCAGCTTTGGTGCCACAGAAACACCTGACAACACCGTGGCCACTGTCTTGCCCTGGCCTGAGCCACAAGGTAGAGGGAGGGCGCTCAGGGTAAAGTCTGGCTGGAGGCCTAAGGCACTTCACTTCTCTCTGTCTCTTCCCCAACCAGGGTGTTCTGTGCTCACGCTTCAGTCTGTGAATGTGCTGCGCAAGTACATCTCCTTTCTGGATCTGCCCTTGTCCCTGCTTCATACGCAGGATGTCCTCTTTGTGCTCAACAGCAAAGAAGTGGCACAGGCCAAGGTGAGGATTGTAAATTCCTGGGCACCCCAACTCAGATCTCTGCCCCAGACCCTCTGTCTCCTCAAAACCCCACCTCTGCAGAAGCCCTAACCGAAGGCCTTCCACAGTGGTTCAGCATCTGTCTCTGAGAGTTGCGGCTAGGCCAGCTAGATCTTGGGAAGCATAGATTTTTCAATGACTTTAGCCTTTTTTCTAATTATAACAATAATATATGCTTTTTCTAAAAGTAAATAACACATGCTCATTGCAGAAAATCTTGAAAAACATAAAAGTGTCAAAGAAAATAAAAATAAGAACAATTACCTGCAGTCCCACCAATTGGAGGTAATCCTTATTAACATGTTGGGCTACTCTTTTTTATTTTTTATTTTTTTGAGATGGAGTTTGGCTCTTGTTGCCCAGGCTGAGGTGCAATCTCTGCTCACTGCAACCTCCACCTCCCGGGTTCAAGCGATTCTCCTGCCTCAGCCTTCTGAGTAGCTGGGATTACAGGTGCCTGCCACTATGCCTGGCTAATTTTTTGTATTTTTAGTACAGGTGAGGTTTCACCATGTTGGCCAGGCTGGTCTCGAACTCCTGACCTCAGGTGATCCACCCACCTCGGCCTCCCAAAGTACAGGGATTACAGGTGTGAGTCACAGCATCCGGCCCTACTCATGTGTGTATATATAGTGCATGTGTATACACATTTCAAATGGGATTACACAGTGCTTATTTAAAACCTGCTTTGGCCTGGCGCAGTGACTCACGCTTATAATCCCAGCACTTTGGGAGGCTGAGGCAGGTGGACCACGAGGTCAGGAGTTCGAGACCAGCCTGGCCAATATGGTGAAACCCCGTCTCTACTAAATATACAAAAATTAGCAGGGTATGGTGGCACACGCCTGTAGTCCCAGCTACTCGGGAGCCTGAGGCAGAAGATCTCTGCCCTGCAAGGCTTTCCTGCCTTGAAAGCTCCCATCTGCAAAGACCCTCCCGAGTCTTGTGAGCAGAGGTTGCATTCCTTCCCAGAGTTCTTGCACAAGCCCTTTTTACAAGACCCTCATGCAGACCCTATGTTGGGAGGAGATTGTGGATCAAAGCAGTCTTTCCTGCGTTGCAACCACACCACTGTGTTCCGGGGTTTTAGAGTGCTCTCAGGTGGCCTTTACTATACGCTTCCTGGTTACCACTTGATTTCTGTTTTTACAGGGCTTAAACAAGTTTTATTTTACTGCACCATTGTTTGGAGTTTTCTTAACTCTATATTTGATCCGTGGCATGAATCTTTAAAGCAAAGCAAGCTTGTAATCATTTAACTAGAAATAACATAGGTCTGCCCCTGGTCATCTTGGCCCACAAGACCCTGTCAAAAAAAAAAAAAAAAAAAAAAAGGCCAGGTACAGTGGCTCACGCCTGTAATTCCAGCACTTTGGGAGGCCGAAGTGAGTGACTCACAAGTGAAACCTCGTCTCTACTAAAAATACAAAGATTAGCCAGGGATGGTGCACACACCTGTAATCCCAGCTACTCAGGAGAGGAGGCTGAGGCGAGAGAATCGCTTGAACCGAGGAAGTAGAGTTTGTGATGAGCTGAGATCACACTCCTGTACTCCAGCCTGGGCAACAGAGCAAGACTTTGTCTCATGCCGGGCGCGGTGGCTCACGCCTGTAATCCCAGCACTTTGGGAGGCCGAGGCGGGTGGATCACGAGGTCAAGAGATCGAGACCATCCTGGTCAACATGGTGAAATCCCGTCTCTACTAAAACTACAAAAAATTAGCTGGGCATGGTGGCACGTGCCTGTAAACCCAGCTACTCAGGAGGCTGAGGCAGGAGAATTGCCTGAACCCGGGAGGCGGAGGTTGCAGTGAGCCGAGATCGCGCCATTGCACTCCAGCCTGGGTAACAAGAGCAAAACTCCGTCTCAAAAAAAAAAAAAAAAAAAGACTTTGTCTCAAAACAAAAAACAAAAAATCCTGCTTTAACAATATGTTATGGGCTGGGCACAGTGGCGCATGCCTGTAATCCCAGTACTTTTGGAGGCTGGGGTGGATGGATTGTTTGCTGGGCAACAGAGCAAAATCTCATCTCTACAAAAAAATTGGCCAGGCATGGTGGCACATGTCTGTGGTTCCAGCTACTCAGGAAGCTGAGGCAGGAGGATCACTTGAGCCCAGGAGCTCAAGGTTGCAATAAACCCTGATGCAGCCACTGTACTCCAGCCTGGGCAACAGAGCCAGACCCTGGCCAAAAAAAAAAAAAAATCAAAACTTTATTATGAACATTTTCTCCCATTTAGTTCAGTATTCAAACAGCAATGGCTGCCTGTTACTCCATTGTATGTATGCACCATAAGATATATCAGGAATCCCTTACTGTTGGACATTTGGATTTACCACTTTTTCACTGTTACACATTAAGCGATGCTCCCAGATTGAGTTTAAGAGGAATTCAGACCTGCCGGGGGCCTCTGTAAAGAGCCCAGGGACTGACTGCAAGAAGCCTACATGTGCCGTGGAGGAAGAGCTAGGCCAGGTCAGGTCATCCTCTCGAAAACTCTTCACCGTCCATGGAGCAGGTGACAGAGTGCCATCAGAGTTTGGGAGAAGGTGGGCTGAAGAGAACTGTTCCTCACTTTGTCTCCAGGTGCAACCCCTGTAGTCTTAAGTTCTTCACAGAGAAAAGGGTAGCGCAATGAGTGAAAGCACCAGGCCAGGGACTGTGGCTCGTGCCTGTAGTAGTCTCCGCTGCTTGGGAGGTTGAGGTGGGAAGATGGTTTAGCCCAGGAGTTTGTATCTGGCCTGGGCAACACAGCTCTATTAAGGAAAGGAAAGAAAGGAAAAGGAAAGAAGGAAGGGAGGGAGAAAGAGAGAGAGGAGAGAGAGAGAAAAGGAGAGAGAGAGAAAAAAGGAAGGAAGGGAGGGAGGGAGGGAAAGAAAGAAAAAGAAATGGGGGGAGAGGGAAAGAGGGAGAGAGAAAGAAAAGAAAGAGAAAGAAAGAAGGAAGGAAGGAAAAAGGAAAAAAAATCTCTAAGAGAACCATTTTGTTAGAAACTCAGGATAATGATTTTGGTTTGGGGGTTTTTTTGTTTAGCTTTATTTTCTAAATTTTCTTTGAGACAGAGTCTCCCTCTGTCACCCATCCTGGAGTGCAATGGCACAATCTCGGCTCACTGCAACCTCTGCCTCCCAGGTTCAAGCAATTCTCATGTCTCAGCCTCTCCAGTAGCTGGGACTACAGGTGCACACCACCACCTGGCTAATATTTGTTATTTTTAATAGAGATGTGGTTTCACCATATTGGTCGGACTGGTCTCGAACTCCTGACCCCTGGAGATCTACCCACCTCAGCCTCCCAAAGTGCTGGGATTACAGGTATGAGCCACCATGCCCAGCCCTTTTTTTTTTTTTTTTTTTTTTTTGGACATAGTTTTGCTCTTGTTGCCCAGGCTGGAGTGCAATGGTGCAATCTTGGCTCACTGCAACCTCTACCTCCCGGGTTCAAGTGATTCTCCAGCCTCAGCCTCCTGAGTAGCTGGGATTACAGGCAGGTGACACCACACCTGGCTATTTTTGTATTTTTAGTAGAGATGGAGTTTTTCCCTGTTGGTCAGGCTAGGGTCTCAAGCTCCCAACCTCAGGTGATCCACCTGCCTTGGCCTCCCAAAGTGCTGGGATTACAGGCATGAGCCACCACGCCTGGCCTATTTATTTATTTATTTTTGAGGCAGAGTCTCATTCTGTCACCCAGGCTGGGATGCATTGGAGTGGTCTCAGCTCACCACAACCTCCGCCTCCTGGGTTCAAGCGATTCACCTGTCTCAGCCTCCTAAGTAGTTGGGACTACAGGCACCCGATTGAACTCGGCTAATTTTTGTATTTTTAGTAGAGACTGGTTTTCGCCATGTTTGCCAGGCTGGTCTCGAACTTCTGACCTCAAGTGATCCACCTGCCTTCACCTCCCAAAGTGCTGGGATTACAGGCATGAGCTGCCATACCCGGCCTGTTTTTTCTCTTTAACTTGAAAGTTTAGCTTTGTTTTCATTTTCAATCTTTAAAAAACAAATACTTTAATACTATTAATTTTCCTTGAAGTGTTTCTTTAACTACACATGACAAGTTCTTCTACTGTCATTTAATTATAAGTAATTTATAGTTTCCATTGTGAGTTCTGCCTTAATCTTTGAGGGTATAATTTAGAGCTCACAAACATTTTTTTTTTTTTTTTTTTGAGACGGAGTTTTTGCTCTTGTTACCCAGGCTGGAGTTCAATGGCACGATCTCGGCTCACCGCAACCTCCGCCTCCTAGGTTCAGGCAATTCTCCTGCCTCAGCCTCCTGAGTAGCTGGGATTACAGGCACACACCACCATGCCCAGCTAATTTTTTGTATTTTTAGTAGAGACGGGGTTTCACCATGCTGACCAGGATGGTCTCGATCTCTTGACCTCGTGATCCACCCGCCTCGGCCTCCCAAAGTGCTGGGATTACAGGCTTGAGCCACTGCGCCCGGCCCTAAACATTTGTGTCCATCTTCATTACTCGTAGTTCTATATTTGTGAATGCACCTACTCACTAAAATTCATTTGCAACTCCAACGTCAGTGCTCGAAGTGCTTTTGTGGTCATTCGTGGACACTTGCAGAGTGGAGAAACATGTGAGTCACCGGATGCACATATGCATGTTCCAAACGTTTCAGTGCTCCTACAGTAGAAAAATACTTTTCCGTGGTATATATAATGTCCCATTTTTCTCATTTTTGTGGGTTTTGTTGATTTTGCTATTTAAAATAGCCTCCAAGAATGATGCTGAAGTGCTGCCTTGCATTCATAAGCACAAGAGGCTGTAATATGCCTTATTTTGATCAGCTTCATTCAAGCATGAGTTACAGTACAGTGCCATTGGCCATGAGTTCAGTGCTGATGATCAACAATATGTATTTCATTTGGAGTTTTTAAACAGAAATACACACAAAACAAGGTTATATATCGATCGATTGATTAAAATATTGTGTCCACAGG